TCGGCGCTGCCGTTCGCGGCCGGCGAGTACACGCTATGCTTCGCGCCGCGCGACGCGATTTTGCAGCTGCGCTCGCCGCAGCTCGCGGACATCCGCAGCAGCATGTTGTGGCAACGCGCGGGCACGCTAAAAGTGTCCAAGAGCCACGTGTACAGCTGCGACTTTGAGTCGGGCTTTCTGGGCACGTGCGGCATCGTGATCTTCAACGAGGCCGAAGACTTGGAGTTTGGCTGGACCCGGCAGGTCGCCGAGTACGGCTACGCGAAGGTGAACCCGCCCGAAGACCACACGTTCGCGGACCGCCTGGCAGTCGACTTGCAGTACAGCGCGGAAGAGCTGCGGAAGGGGCACTATCTGTTGCTGCAGAGCCCGGGTTACCTGAGCGAGCCGGTGGCGTCCGTGGCTATCGGACCGCCGATCACGGCGGCGCCGGGCGAGTACTGCCTAGACTTCTTCTACTACATGAACGGACGAGACGTGAACACGCTGCGCGTGTTCACATTCCAATCAGAGTTTCGCGCCGACATCGCGCAGCCGAACAAAGTCGTGCGCAACGCGCACGACTGGGGCAACCTGATCTACAGCGTGGTCGGCGAGAAAGGCAGCAAGTGGCACCGCGCGGTCGTGAACCTGACGCTCGACGCGAACACGCCGACGCACTTCGCGATCGCGGGGCTCAGCGGGAAGTCTGAGCTCGCCGCGATCGCGGTCGACGACATCAACGTGCACGCAGGCTTCTGCCAGCCGCAAATGGTCGAGGAACCGCTCAGCGGCGCGAGCCTCGGCGCGAAGTTGATCTGCGGCGAAGTGCGCATGACGACCGGGAAGCACCCGCAAGACAAGAGCTGGCAAATCGAGGGCGCAGTGAACTGCGCCGGCCGCGGCTACTCGCTGGCCGACGTGACGTCTGCGTGGGTGCCCTGCTGCGTGCCGCACTTCGGCACGTACAAGCTGCTGCTGCGTGACTCGATGAACGACGGCTGGGAGGGCAGCAAGCTCGAGCTGCGCTTTTTCGACCGCGTGTACACGTTTGGCGAAGAGATGCGGCGTCACTCGGGCGACGTCGCGCTGCAGTTCAACATTGGGCTAGCGCTGGTCGAGAACGCTGTGTACGTGAACGACCGCATCCTGATCCACGTGCGCGCGGCGTCTGACGATCTGCGCATTTACTGCGGAATCGCGGAAGCGCTGCCGAGCGGGCAGCCGCGGCTGCCCGGGCCGACGGCGGACATGCTCAAGCAGTACGGCGTGATGAACGCGTTCCCGACCACCGAGCGCTTCTCGACGGTGACGCTCGAGATCGAGCCTCAGTTCGTGAAGCGCGACACCGCGTACGACGTCTACTGCTACGCCGAAGTGCAGCGCGAGCAAAGCGCGAAGGTCGCGTTCGACGCGCCGCCTGCGGAAGTGCCGCACATGACCGACGACGAGGTGCGCGCGACGCGCTTCCGCATGAAAACGGACCTCACTGCCCCGCGACTCTGGGTGCAAAACGTCGAGTTCAGCGACGGCGTCGCGGAAGTTGCGGTGGCGGCAGACGAAGAGGCGATCGCCTGGTGCGTGGCGACGCGCGACCAGGCAGAGCGACTGATCAGCGAGGAGTACGTGCGGAACCAGGGCGCTTATTTGACGCTGACCGATGCGCAGCCCGCGACCGCGAAGTTCGCGCATCTGATCCCCGGGTTCAACTACTCGGTGTACTGCTACGCTGAAGACACCGCGAGCCCGACGCCCAACCGGCAAGACGAAGCCACCGTGGCCACGGCGTTGCGCTTCTCGGACGAGAGCCCCGCGTTGCTGGTTGCGCCGTACAAGGTGCCCGTCGTCGCAATCAAGGCCGTCTCGGCCGCATCGAACGGGTTCTCGGTCGTTGTAGACGTCTCGCTGCCGAGCAAGCTCTTCTGCGCAGCCGCCCCCGCGAACTTCGCGTTCCCGAGCGTTGACGAAGTGATTGCGATCGGTGCGCGCGCCGAGCTAGATGTGCGCGACTTCGAAGAGGCGCCGGCGCCCGAGGCAACGCTCGAAATTCGCGGCGTGCAGCAAAACGTTGACTACCGCGTGTACTGCTGCGCCGTCAGTCTGATCGACAAGCAGATCAGCGCGGAGCGGAGCATGTGGGCGTCCGCGGTGGACGTGACGAGCTACGGCAGGTTCTGCCCGAGGCCGAAGCAGCCGCCCACCGCGACGCGCGCGGACGAGCCGACGCCGTTCGACCCGCTCACCGCAGAAGAAGAGCTGAGCGTCAAGCGCTTCATGCTGGAAAGCGAAGACTGGCACGTGGAGTCGCTCTACCGCATCGACCTCTTCCACAACAAAACAGAGATCTACGACCACCTCGACCGTGGCGGGCCGCTGCCGGCGCGCTTTGCGCGCGTGCGCTTCGGTCGCTGCGTGAAAGAAAAGGGACTGTACGAACAAGTCGCTGTGGGACCGCTGGGCAACGCGAAGAACATGGAATGGCGGCGGCTCGCGAAGCCGGTCGTGACCTCCTGCGACGGCTACCGCACGGACAGCATCTTCGGGCGCAGGCTCGGTGATGCGCCGGAGCAGTCGCCAATGGCTCAGCTGAGCGAGTTCTTCAAAACGGTCTACAACGCGGAGTTCAGCACGAAAAGCTGCCAACTCGCGCTGCACGAGGTGGTCAACAAGAAGTGCATGACTGTCGGGCGCCTCGCGGTCGACGCTCTGCGCGACACCGAAGTTGACCAGCAAGTGAGCGACGACTCGCGCGTGTTCGTGGGCGTGAAAACGCCGGCCGGCGAAGACACTGGGTTCTACTTTGAGTTCCTGCCGCGCGACTTCAACTCGCCGTACAAGCCGAAGCGGCCGCTCACCGTGGCTGACTTGAAGAACGAAGTGCGCTTTTTCGACTGGCGAGCGTTTGACGGCCCCGTGTGGGTCGGGCAGCGGCGCTTCGAAAGCATCGCGCAGCTACTCGAACACCGCAAGCACGCGCAGTCGCTGCTCAGAGAGTACCGCAAGTCGCGCAGCGGCAAAGGGCGCAGCTCCGCCGCGGGCAACAAGCATGAAAGCGTGGGCCGCCGCAAGCTCGCGCCGTCGCCGTACGCCGGCGGCGCGGGCACTGCGGGGCCGGACATCGAGCACGAGACTAAGCGCGGCGGACTCGAGTACCGCGCGCCGCCGGAGCTCGTCGAGCCGGACGGCAAGCGCTACACTATCAAGTCGCACCCGCACGGCGAGTCGTACACGATCGAGTACCTCGGCTGGAGCTTCACAGTGACGAACGACCGAGACAAAGCGTTGCAGCTTTGGAACGTGATGTTCCAAAACGAACGCATTCTGTTCAACGTAGGCCTGCAAGAAGCGATGGCGCACTACACTGTCGCGGAGCGCACGTTCTTCTTCATGGACTCGTGGTACGGCGGGCTGGGCAGTTCAGCGCGGCCAGTGCTCCGCGGCTTCGAGTGCCCGAAGAGCGGAACGCTGGTTTTCTACGACCAGAATCTGTGCGTCTTTGAGAAAGAAGAGGGCCGCCCGATCCGCTCGCACTACAAGTCAGGGGAGATCCGCGACGCAGCCGCGCACTACTCGCTGAACCTAAGGCAAATGATCACGGTGAGCAACTACGACTATGTGGTCACGTTCACACTGCACGCGTCCGGGCACTTCGAGTCGACGGTCGCGTTTACAGGCGAGCTGTACGCGGGCGTAGAAGTGCCTTGGTACTCGGCGCGCCAAGCGCCCTACGGCACGCTGGTGAGCGGCGCAATGCGAATGGCCGCGCTGCACGCACACCTGGTCGTTTGGAAATACGATTTCGACCTCGAAAACTACGAGGACAACAGCGTGTTCTTTGAACAAGTTACTGCCGACGAAAAGCGGAAGACTGCGAACTACATCACGCGGTTCTTCCCGGAAACGGAGAAGGCTTCTGCATTGAAGGTCGTCGACCCACGCTCCATCGGCTACTCCATCGTCAGCGAGAATCGGAAAACCTACGGGAACTATTCCGGCTGGCGCGCGGTGCCTGGCGTGTCTTGGAGCCCGCACCTCATCGAGAGCGAGCTGTACGAAGGCACAGGCGCTTGGTCAAAGTATAAAGTGTTCACGACGGTGTTCAAGTACAGCGAGCTCGACGCGACGCTGCCGCGCGACAACAAATTTGCGGCGGACCCCGCCGTCAGCGTACAGCGGTACATCGACGACGACGAGCCGACGCGACACGCGGACTTAGTCACCTGGATGTCGATGAGCTTCATGCACATTCCAGCCGCTGAAGACTACCCGCTAACCATCCCGATTTTCAACACGCTGAGCTCGGGCGTGCGGCCGTTCAACTGGTTTTTGGAAGACCCGACAATGGACCTGCACAACGCGCTCGACGGCGGTTACCATGAGCCGGGGCAGTGCGCAGTCGTGCGCAACACGCTTGCTAACTCGTCGAACACACGACACCGCACGAGCCCCATAATAACCTAACTTTCTGCGTAATTTTTAGTAGATTTTTGCGAGCAGCGCTGAACATGAGCTGCGAGCCCGGAAGCAGCGCCGCGCAAGTGACGCGAACTTCGGGGCTGAAGTTCGGCGCAGACCACTTGGAATACGTAGGTAGGTAGGAGCGCGGAAAACCAGGCGAGGAACAGCACGGGCACGCGAAGTACATCGTAATTGAGCTGGCCGCAGACGCGCAGCTTTCCGGCTACGACCTGATTCACTACAATCGACTGGCGGCCACGGCGCTGAAAACGGCGAAGTTTGAACTGCCTAACGGCACACAGTTGGTAGTTCGGCGCCTGCTCCGCGCGAACCGACAGCTGGAGCTGCCCTACAAAAAATGAGTTTTCCGCGAAATAATGCGCCGTTTGACGCTCTGCAACGCGCGGCGCGCGCCACGACGCCGCACACTAGCTGATGAAAAAGATCATCCTTGCTCTGAACGTGATGAACTGCTAGGCTAATCTTCTTTCTGAATGTAATTATTTTCGCAGCGTCCTCTCGCCTTAATTCATTTATTTGCGAAACGTGCTTCGCAACTGTAGTCAGAATTCGGTTCCACCGCTGCGTAAGGCTGCACGATGGCCACGGACGGAGGCGCGACGCATAGCGTGGCTCAGCAGAGCGCATCTTACGTGCCACGCACAGCTTATTTTTACGACCCCGACATCGGCTCCTACTACTACGGGTCGGGTCACCCGATGAAGCCACAGCGCGTGCGCATGGCGCACTCACTCATTCTGTCCTACGACTTGTACAAGGAGCTGGACGTATTTCAGCCCCACTACGCATCGATGCTTGAGCTGACGAAGTTCCACAGTCCTGACTACGTGGACTTTCTTGCTTCTGTGTCGGTCGAGAACTACAAGGTCGTCTCTGCGAAGCTGCCGATGTTCAATATTGGCGAAAGCAGCGACTGTCCGATTTTCGACAACCTGCTCGAGTTCCAGTCGTCCTGCGCTGGCGCGAGCATTGACGCAGCGATGCAAATCAACCACCGCACGGCAGACATTGCGATCAACTGGAGCGGCGGGCTGCACCACGCCAAGCGCGCGGAGGCCAGCGGTTTTTGCTACGTAAACGACATCGTGCTTTGCATTCTCGAGCTGCTAAAATACCACGTGCGCGTGATGTACATCGACATTGACATTCACCACGGCGACGGCGTCGAAGAGGCCTTCTACTTGTGCTCGCGCGTCATGACCGTCAGCTTCCACCGCTATGGCGACTACTTTCCAGGCACCGGCAGCATCCTGGACGTGGGCGGCAGCGCGGGCAAGTACTACAGCGTGAACGTGCCCCTGAAAGCAGGGATGACCGACGAGATGTACGTGTCGCTGTACAAGGACGTAGTGGCGAAGTGCGTAGAGGTTTACCAGCCGCGGGCGATCGTGCTGCAGTGCGGCGCCGACAGCGTCGCCGGGGACCGACTAGGCTGTTTCAACTTATCGACCAAGGGGCACGGCGCGTGCGTCGAATGGACGCGCAGTTTGCAAATACCGCTGGTGATTCTAGGCGGAGGCGGCTACACGATCAAGAACGTCGCGCGCACGTGGCTGTACGAGACAGCTGTTGCACTGGGCAAAGGCGCCGAAATTAGCGAGGAAATACCGCGTAACGAGTACTACCAATATTACGGGCCGAACTTCCAGCTGCACCTCAGTCCGAATCCGGAATTGGCTAACAAAAATTCAGAGCACTACTGCAACTGCATCCGCGAAAAAATTTTCCAGCACTTGTCGCACCTGGAGTCCCCGCCGAATTGCGTGTCTTCTGCGTCGCCGGGCGATTTTGTCGCAGCGTCTGAGATTCCGAGCCGCGACGAGGTCGAACAACTGCACGTGGACTTTGAGGGCGGCGGCCGCGCGCAGCCGGAGCCACTGGCAATACCGCACCACCTGTTCCGCGCGAGCGCGCGCAACGAATTAGACGGCGCGCTCGATCGCGACCAAAAAGAAGCGTTGCAGACGCTGCAGGTCACAAGCGGAATGCAGGACTTGATTTCCGAAGACGACGAAAGCGACTTTTTTTACTAGCTGGATTCCGTGCCGGACTCTTGCATCAGCTCGCCAATGATGCAGTCTTTTTCGACGACCGAGCCGCTGTTCGCGAGTTCGTACTTTAAGTTGCTGATGTAGTCGCGTCGCTGGTCGCTTTCGCTTTTGCTGATCAGCTCTAGAATGCCATTGCTCAGCTGGTCGTCGTACTGCGCGCCGTCGCGCTCAGCCGCGGACTGCGTCGCCGCGCAGCCGTCCGCTTTCCGACCCTCGCCTTGCTTAATTGCTTTACGCAGCAGCTGCGTATTTTTCTTCGCGAGCATCTTCATCAGGCGACGGTGCTTGCGCAGAAGCCGCGTGCCTTTGATAACCTTCTGGCCGGCCTTCACGGGAGCGCGCAGCGGCGAGATGCGCGGCAGCGAGAGTCGCTGGTACTTGCTGTACTCCTGCGAGAGCGTTTGGAACGCGGACTGCAGACTGTAGTTCAGCGGCGCCGCGAGCGCCAGCGAGTGCCCCGCCCCTACTGCCGTGAGCTCTGCGTTCGAGCTGCCTGAAGCGGACTCCGTTGCGTTAGAGTCGCGGCTCTCCATCAACCGCGAACGTTCGGCATCGCCGCGCATCAAGTCGAACGTGCGCCGCGCGTCGCTGGAGTTCGCGCCTGGGGACGCGGCCGCGCTCGAAGAGCGCGGTGCCGCGCAGAGGTGCGGCGCAACGCTGAACGTGAACACATTCGAATCGGAGCGCGCGTCCGAGCTGTCGGAAGGCCGAAACCGCGACATAAGCACGCTGTGCGGCACGCTGTGAGGCTCTCTTTGCGAGCCTTGCTGTTCCGCAGGCTGCGGCTTGCTTCGTTGCGCACTCGCGCGCTCCGCCGGGACGCAGCGCAGGTCATCGCGCTCGGGCTCAAGGAACCTGGCGGAGCGCGCGCTCGCCGACTGCTCACTCGTGCGCGACTTCCGCGAGAGCGTGACGCCCCCCAGCTGCAAAATCTTCGCCTGCGAGAGCACCTCTTCCAGGCAAACGCCTTGAGCACCCGCGTGGGCGGCAGTCTGCGGCAAGCGACAGCTGCCCGACTGCAGTTTTTCAAGGCAGACGGCAACAATGTCAGGCACGTCGGAGTTCATATGTCGAGCTGCGCGCGCAGCCGCCGTTTATCGAACAAGTCGCCACGCTTCCACCCAATTGACTCGCGGCTATAAAAGCCCAAATTCATTTAAAATATCGGCTGGCTTATTTCGGCGAAAAGCGGCATTCACGTAGGCGACGTAGTTCTCCAAGCACTCCGAGCGCAGCACCGTATGCACGTCGCTCGCTGCGACGCACGCCGCTCGCGCTACGCGTTCCACTGCCGCGCTGTCCTCGGCCAGCGCGGCGAGCTGCGCAGCGTCCAGCGTCCAGGCGTCCGCCGGCGCTTCAACGGCCGGCGCTGCGGCCGAAGCCGTTGCTGCCGCAGCGACTGGCTTGGGTGCTAGCGCTTCTGCGCGCGCGAGCTCCTGCGCTTCCTGCACGAGGTAGCAGAGATACTCTGCTTCGGGGCAGTCCGCCGGCAGCGCGAGTTGCAACACGGGGCCCGAAGAGTAGCGCACAACTGCGAGACTGTCTGGCTCGAGCGTGCGCACCGTCGCCGCCGGCGTTTCTGCAGTGACCTCCGCGGCGCAGTAGCGGAAGACGAGCAAGTCATCGTTGACTGCGAATGTGCGGCCCGTCGCGGCCGCTTTGTCGACGACTACCAGCGTCAGTCGCCGAGGCGCAGCGGCATCTGCTGCGCAAAGCAAGCGCACGCTCACGGCGCGCCCGCTAGCGCGGCACGTGCCCGCGACCTCGATGATCACCGCTTCGCGCCCAACAGCCATCTGTATTTTTATTTCGCTTTTTCACGGTAATTGCAGCAGCGATGCAGAAGTCTGATTCCGTTCCAGCAGCCTCTGCCGTAAGTTGCCGCGGACAGTCTTTAGTTGCGCGACGCCGAAACAGCGCGCGCAAAAGCGGCGCGCCAGGTGCTCGCGGCGCAGAAACAGTTGCGGCAAGCGCAGCAAACTTCGGCTAGCATTGCAGACGCTATGCAAGAACTTGAGCGCAGTGGAGAGCGCTCGACGCTCGTAAAAGGCGGCGAGATCTACTTCCGACTCGATGCGGAAACTGTGAAGCGCGACCTGCGCGAGTACGAAGGAAGCATGCCCGGGCTGATTCAGCAGTACCTCGTAAGTGATCGCGCGCGCCACGCAGGACCTCGAGAAAGAGTTGTGCGCCGAGTACGCAAAAGCTGAAACTTCCTTCCAGGCGCTGAGCAGATCGCTCAGCAACCGCACGTAGTCAGCACGGCAGCTGCGCGAGCAGCGCCGCGAGCAGCCGCCGCAACTGCGGCAGCGAGCGCGAGCTGAGGCCCGCGGCGTGCACGTTCACCGGCACGCCGTCCAGCTGCAAGGCTATTTTCCGTAGTTGCACACTTACCGCAGTCTGGCGCAAAGCGCCGCAGCTCTGCGAGCGACCAGAGGAGCTGCGTCTTCGCCAGCGCCGAAGGCGCGCGCAGAGCGCGAAAGAAAAATACGGGGCTCTGAAACACGCCGTCCAGTTCGGCCGCAACCAGCAAGCGGTACGTTGCGCTGCCCTCGCAGCTGAAGTACAGCAGGTTCGGAAATTCCAGACCCAGCTCCGCGCCGAGCTGCCGCGGCGAGAACGCGAACGCAAAGTACTGCACCGTGAGGTGTCGCAGTTTCGCAACGCTCAGCGCTTCCGCCGCGCTGAACTGCGGGCCGAGCAGCCAGCAGTGCAGGCGCGCCTCGCGCTGGCAGGGCGGCTCGAAGCGCACGCGCACGAGCTGCGTGACCGGCAGTGGGCTCGCGTCCGCGCCGTCGGAAAGCCGCAGCTGCGACGGCGCGCTTGCGCGTGACTTCAGCAACTCGAGGCAGTGGTCCAGCAGCGCGTGGCACGACGCGTCCGCGTTGCGAAAGCACAGAATCAGCTGCGGCCGCACGCCGCGTTTCGCCGGAGGCGCCGCGCGCGGTGCCTCCGAGCCGCGCCGGCCGCGCAGCCACGCGCTCACGTCGAGACCGATCAGTTCGGCGAACGGCGGCGCCGCGCGCAGCGCGAACGGCAGCTTGGCGAACTTCAGCGCCGACTCGGCACTGATCTGGCCCAGCGCGGACTTGAAGATCTGGAAGCCCTCGTTTAGCAAGCGCGTGAACGGCTCGCGCTCCGCCACGCTGAGACTCTCGAGCACGAACTTGTCAGGGTGCAGCCGCAGAAACAGCTTGTGCTTCAACGCTTTCAGCAGTTCGCGATCCACGCACGCCGGCGGCACGCCGAGCACGTGAAAGGGCTTCAACTCTGCGGCGAGCGGCGCGCTCTCGCATGCCGCGGCGTTGCGAATCAAAAACTGCAAAATCGGCTCCGCCTCTGCTACTTTCGACTCTGCCACGCGTCTCCGTTTTGCGCGCAGCTCCGGCGAACCCAGCTGCTCGGGCGAGTCGTTGGGCTGCCTCGACTCCAGCGTAGCCGCTGCTGCCCCGTCCAGCCTGTTGGCCGTCGCAGCGTTTGGCGCACACTTTGGCTTAGGCTCACCCTTTGGCTCGCCCTTTGGCTCGCCCTTTGGCTCGCGCTTTACCGCTGCACTCGTTTCCGCGGCCCCACTCGAGCTCGCGCTCGGGCCGACTTCCGCGTCAGCTGCGCGGCGCGACTCGGCGTCTTTCGGTTGGCGCGCCTCGCTGCGCAAAGCTTGGCCGTCGCTCGCTGCGTTCATCTTCTTCTGCATTAACTGGCAGAGCGAGTCGATCACGCGCAACAAGTCTTCTTGCGAGCGACTCTGCCGCCGGATCTCGGCGCGCAGCCGCGTCCACGGCTCCGCGTCTTTGTGCTTCCGCAAAAACTGCACGATTTCCTCTTCGCGCATCACTGTGCTCGCGCCGCCGCGCCGCCCGCAAGCGCTCGTCGCGACCGCCGCTCCGCATGTATTTTTCCGCCTAACATTCTAAAAGATATTTTTGCCGGAGCTAGCGGCGGACAGGAGCGCTGCCGCGAAGTGGAACGCGACGAACGAGAGCTGCAGAAACAAAAACGTGCGCAGCAGCAGCGCCAAGCTCCAGCGCGCCACGCGCTCCGGCGGCACGGGGCACAAGTACACGCCGTAGCCCGAGGTCGTCACGACTAAGTACGACTCGTCTTCCGCAAACGCGCAGCCGGTCGCCGGCAAAAAGTCCGCGCCATTTTGCCGGTAGTGCGCCACGCACTTGCGGTCGCGCAGCCGGAACACGCGAAAGCCGTCCAGCCCCACATACGCGAAGAGGTTGCGGCTGCGCGCCACGGCCAAAACCTTGTGCCGCACTTGCTTCTGCCACACGCGCTCGCGCACGCCGCCCGCGCCCAGCCGCAAGTCTAGAAACGCCAGCTGTTCGCGGCTCGCCGCAATTACGTGCTCCGCGTCCGTGAACAGCAGCGTGTCGTACGTCGCGCCGAGCTCCGCAGCCAGCTGCGGCGTCAGCGCGAAGTCCGCGCCCCACGCGAACAGCTTCACGCGCCGCTCGGCGTCTAGCACCAAAAGCTGCCGCGCCGGCGACCAGACCGCGAAAGCTTTCACTTCTTGCTGAATGCACTCGGGCCGCTGCTTGTGGAGTCCGTCCACCGGCACGCACATCAGCAGCCCCTTGTCCGTCAACACGAACACTGCGCCGTTGCTCAGCGCCAGCGCCTTGATGTTCCCGTACAGCGCGCAGTCGAAGTTCGTCTGCACGCTGCTCCCGCGCTC